TTTTTTTTTGAAGTTTATTTATTTTGAGAGAGAGAGCGTGCAAGCGGGGAAGGGTCAGAGAAAGCGGGAGAGACATAATCCCAAGCAGGCTCCGTGCCATCAGCGCAGAGCCTGACTCAGGGCTCGAACTCATGAACTGTGAGGTCACGACCTGAGCTGAGATTGAGAGTTGTGGCTTAACCGACCGAGCCACCCAGGCACCCCCTGCCCCACTTTTCTTTTGTTTTTAATTTTTAATTCCAATATAGTTAACCTACAGTACTATATTATTTTCGGGTGCACAGTGTGGTGATTCAACAGTTCTGTACATTTTTCAGTGCTTAGCGTGGTAAGCGACAATTTTCTCTACAAGCACCCTTGACTCCCTCCACACCACTTGCCACATGGCAACCAGGGACCTAAAATATAAACTGGGCCCTGTGGCTGTTCCCTAACTTCTCTGGTCCTGCGGTATGGCCCCTCCAGGCCTCCTTCCTCTCCCACCCTGCTTCGCACCCACCCGGGAGCCACCGTGTGCTCATTACTCCTTCAGGCCTCGTCAGGCCCCAGGGTGCAATGACCAGGATAGAGAAGAGCTCCTATTCTCAAAGAGCTGCCATTCTAGGGGTGGGGAGACCAACAATAAACAGGGCAATAAATCCAGGTAATTGTAAGTACAACACAGAAAGAAACAGGATCTCAGGATAGAGAGCAAATGGATAGACGGAGAGGGTGTTAGGGGAAGCGCCTTCCAGGCAAAGCCAACAGACACTCAGCTCTCAAATTCAGGGTTCAGATCTCAGGTAAAATGCCCCCTCCCCGGCAAAGTCCTCCTTGACCTCTAGGTATAACAACCAATCAATCAGTGCTACTTAACCATCATCATAATGAAGTAAGCACATGACCAGTCGCTTGGTGTCTGTCTCCCTCCCTACAACACAAGCTTCCTGAGGGCGGAAGCTTGCCCTGTGCCACATCCTGTGCTTATCAGAGTGGCTGTAGGCACTCAATCAATATTTGTTAAAGACAGAAACCGCGAGTCAGGCGGAATGATGTCTATACCAGCTTCCAAATTCCGCAAATGTGATCGGCACAATTCCCGAGGATGAATGTTACCCAGCCAACAAATCCTTATACTGGAAATATGTTTAGGATATATGCTTTTTCACTACATAATGAGCCTTTTAATGCTGAAAATGCTAATGAGAATGTTAGAAAAATTGTAAGGGTGATGGAACACTGCAGGGTCTGGGAGCGAACAGTTATTTCAGTGATAGTATCACTGCTTTAAAAAAAAAACCAACAAGGGGCGCCGGGGTGGCTCAGTCGGTTAAGCGTCCGACTTCA